CCTCCAGCTGCTGGGAGCCCCACGTTCGTGGATCATCAGATGGACCTTGGATGGATTTCTCCCACGGCATGCTGCACAGGTCCCATCCATGGAGAGAAGCTCTTTTTTGGTCATTGAAGCTATTATATGATTTTCTTACAAGAAAAAGATTGTACTAATCATTTCTACAGAAGAGAAGTTCATTTAGGAACTTCCTGCTGCACTGTTAGATAAAGGCAAGGCCACACAGGCGGTGCCAAGTGGGAGCTGCCTGCAGGCTCCTCCGTTACAACGACCTGGCTGAGTTTACCAACTGCAGCCAAGGGGTACGTGTAGCACAACCCAGCCTGAAGGTCACGCTGTACGTGCCGCACAGCACAGCACAGGCTTGCCCTTACCGGGTTAACCTGGACACATTATGACAAATATTTTTCCATCCAGTAGATCTATTTTTTTAAACTTCATCTATCCCTCTGTCTGTGTCCCTAGAGGCATAGCTTTATCTCTGTGGCAGGCTGAAAGTGCAAGCCCGAACGCTTGAACAGAAAGCCTTGTTTGTAGAACATGGGGTTCAGTAAGGGTTGTGCAAGGTTTAGAGAGACACAGGAGTGGTGCTGCTGCATGGAATTCCTCACCTAGCCTTGACAGTTTACAATAATTTCCACTCAAAGGCACAAAGTAAGTTGTGCCTGCCGAAATGTGTGGATAAACCTCTGAAAAAGAAGCTCCTCGGTATGATCACATGCAGGTATTACAATGGAATAGTTTTATCTTATACTACAGACACTGCAAAGCAACATATGTATGTCACAGCTGATCTGAATATCCAGACACTGTATTTCAGCTCTCAGGAGAAGCATCTCTGAAACTGCGTGCCTGAAGTTTCCCTTACTACGTAAAACTCCTTATGTCTTGTGTTCTTAGAGAAACAAGTCACAGATAAAAACATCCCAAACTTTGGCAAAAGCAGGGCACTCAGTTACCATGGGGTTTAATTAGCCTCAGGCATTTAAATGTATTGCACTATGCAAAAATTTCAGCCTTAGAAAAAGTACTGAAAAAAGCTAAGATAAATAAAGCAGCAAACTTTTATTAATGCATTAAGAAGATTAAGCATCTCGCAGTACTAAAATATTCCAATATTCTGGACCTATAGAGCTCTGCACCTTCCTCTCCCTTTTGGTACAATTGTGGCTTTAAAAGCATCCTTAAATTGGACCTTATTTTGTCACAGCAGCCTTCCCCTCTCTGTGTTGTAATCACAGAGGTTCTTCAGGCTGTAAGAGAGACCTCCTGCTTTCCATGTCAGCAACAGTCCCTGCCACCTCAGACCTGCAGGACTACATCATTGTCATTAGGGATGGTCATCTTAACACCCACCTAGACAACATGAATTAACAGTGCCAGGTTGCCTTCTTAATGGAGTTGGCAATTCTGAATAGAATCGTAGAATCGTTGAGGCTGGAAAAGACCCTTAAGATCATCAAGTCCAGCTGTTAACCCAGCACTGCCAAGTGCACCACTAAACCATGTCCCTAAGCGCCCCATCTACACGTCTTTTAAATACCTCCAGGGATGGTGGCTCACCCACTTCCCTGGGCAGCCTGTTCCAGTGCTTGACAACCCCTTCCATGAAGAAATTTTTTCCTATTATCCAATCTAAACCTCCGCTGGCGCAACTTGAGGCCATTTCCTCTCATCCTATCGCTTGTTAGTTGGGAAGAGAGACCAACACCCACCTCACTGCAACTTCCTTTCAGGTGGTTGTAGAGAGTGATAAGGTCTCCCCTCAGCCGCCTCTTCTCCAGGCTAAACAACCCCAGTTCCCTCAGCCGCTCTTCATAGGACCTGTGCTCCAGACCCTTCACCAGCCTTGTTGCCCTTCTCTGGACATGCTCCAGCACCTCAGTGTCCTTCTTGTACTGAGGGGCCCAAAACTGGACACAGTATTCGAGGTGTGGCCTCACCAGTGCCAAGTACAGGGGGATCATCACTTCCCTGGTCCTGCTAGCCACACTATTTCCAATACAAAATAGCTAAAGGTTTCAGAGGGAAATACTCTCATTTGGACATTTCTGTTTAAAAAGCACTTGTGGACTTTGCATATCTTCCTAAACCCCAATGTAAAACAAAAATGAAAATGTCAGACCTACAGAATTTTCAGTTTCCCCTCTAGAAACTGGAACAAGTGGGTAGAAGCTTAAAACCATGAAGTAAGAGCTGTTTCTGGATTTCATCTCTCAGCTATTTATCAACTATTTAATATTTCAAAAACAAAATAAAAGCCAAACAAGGCAACACATCGCACAGAGCCTCCTTTCATGTAACTGCAGAAGAATTAATGACTGTGAAAGGGGAAACAATCAAAAACCCAAGAAAAACCCTTGGAGTTTTCCCATTTCCAAAAATAAAATGAAACCGCTATTTGCAATGAGGTTTTTAGTTTAGAATGTTGTAATCAAAATATGTATAGGAAACTTTCCCATGCTGTCCAAGGGAAACATTTTCAAAAGGAAACCAATTCCTGTGTGGTACTCCTGATAAAAGAGGACAAGAGAAAACAAAGGCTGCAGCTCTTCTCTGTGCCTGCTCTTTACTATCGTGCTTACCAAATCTCCTTCTGCTGACATTTAAGACAAAAAGGAAGAACATGAAAGGCCTGGAAAAAAAGGAAGCAATGCAGTAAAACGCTTATCATGCAAAATCAGAAAGTCATTGACAATAAAACACACTGCACTGATAGAGCACTGGGACGATCAAACGAAGCCCTAAACTTTCTCCTTCATCAGATATGAAAAATCAGATGTGTTACTGCTGGCGACAGCTGCAGTTTGTTGCTTGGTCTAGAACAGGCAAAAAAAAAAACGTAAGCAGTAACACAGTTTCTCAGCAACTGCCTTCAGCTTTATACCAGCCTACGGAGTCCCAGCAAATCTGCTTCCACTACACCTCAGCTGCAGCTTGTTTTTAGCCATGCCTCCTGTGTGACCCCCCCAGGATGCGGGGGAATTAGTGGGAAGGTGACTGGAGATGCCCAGAAACATGTCCCTGCCTTCCGAGATGAGCACAGAGCACTTAACCCATGTTGAAAGCGAGCTCTGGCACCAGACTAGCCACATCAGTGCAGGAGGCACCTGAGCTAGTTAGCTGTGCTGAGAGAAAAGAGTTTCTACTTTGAATGCGCTGCTCTGCCAATGCAGCTGTGTGGCTTTTGGGAGACAGACTGGAGCTCTGCACGGTTCTGCTGCTTCAGATGGACATAAGCTGGGTGCTCTGCATGGGGCAACAGTTTTATGGAGTCACTAGTCCTGACTCTGAAGCCAGACCTGCAGTCCTCCTGGACCTGAGTTCTCCTGATCTCCAGGGGACTCAGATTTCACTAACAATGCGAAGGAAAAACAGCAGTATTTCTCATCTCGCTAAGTGTTTTTAGGCTGGAATACAGCTAGATGACTCAACTTACAAACAATTAGTTATGTGATAGAGCAGCTTCGAAGTTAAGGAAACCAGATGATGACTCAAAGGGTTAATTCCAATCCTGTATTCCAAAAGGAAATCTCAGACCCTACAGAGCACTTGTAGCAACCATTAGCTTGGAGGAAGTCAGAAGCAACTGTACTAACATGTGGGCACTACGGTTATGCAGTCCATCCCACCCATGGCATTCCTGCCTCTGCATGAGTTGGCGGAATTCTTCCAAGCAGCTTTAACTGTTACTTCACAAAATACAGGACTATGGGCCTTCTTCGCTTCCCAAAGTTAACACTGGAAAAATAAATTGCAGAAGCGTCAATGAGTATTTGAACAGGTCGTCTTTTGAATCCCACATTTTCTTAGATTTTCTAAATCAGTTTAAAAGAAAACCTGCCTTAAAAAAAAAAAAAAGGCAAAGAAGGAAAAAAAAAAAAAAAGAGAAGTATCTTTTCTTCGTTCTCCTAAAACTGAACTCATTGAACGGATATGGGCTGGCCCCTTGTAATGCCCCACCCCATCAACATCTTTAGGGTCAAATTTAACAGTTAAAAAAAGAGAAACAACTTTACTCAAAATCTGGATTTGAGACTTGCAGATATTTTCTTTCCCAGACTTGCAGATTTTTTTTCATTTTTTTAATCTCCATTATAAAGGTTTTTGCCCAGGTTTACTACAAGGTAAGGAACAGATATATAAGCATTTCCTCACAATCCTAGATTTTATTGTTAATCACTAATAATAAAATGATGGCTACTTTAAAAAGTCAAATAAAAACAATACAAAACCATGGTCATTAGAGTATTATATACACATATAACAAAACAGCTTAATACAATTATATCACAGTTTTCTATTGTATCAAAGAGAGCATACTTTAGTACACAGCAAATAGAGATTCTGATTTCCACTTCAAACAGTCACTTTATATTTACTATAAAAAATTAAATGAATTTTTTAAAAAGCAATCCTCAAGTCCAGATGTAATCCCTGATAGGTTAACTGCACAGAAAACACAACCTTTGGGAGCAACTATAAACCATGGAAGAAACAAATTATTTCTGATCCAAATTCTTATCCAGCAGGAAGAGACTGGCTTCCTAATCTCCAGGTTGCTTTTGAACATAGTTACATTCCCTCATCTCAGTTTTTCTTGATTTTTTCATTCCTGTATCTTGTGTGAATACATGCTCCAGAAAGTTTCACACACACTTTCTAAAACCTCCTGTCTTCAGCATATCTAACACAGATATCAGGTGCTCATTTGTATTGCTACAACAGCCTCAGTTTACAATCTTGTGAAAGATTTATTCAGTGAAACGGGGTGATGTCACAGCTGCACATCAAGTTCAGAAACTCATTCCCAGGATTTCCTATAGTGCTCGGTATGGCACAAGTACAATAAGCATATGGACCTTTTTATATTAATGGCACTGACATGAAAGCACTTCAGAGTTAAACTGTACATTTGGAGAGGGGGACTATTGTGATCTAATTGTGGTTCATACAAAAAAAATTTAAAAAAATATAGGACTTGAGGGCAGTTTCCTTTACATAACATGCATTGACAATGCAAACCAGCCTTCCTCTTTTGGCTTTTCCACCTGAAAAAGAAGAAACGAGTTGAAATTCATACATTATAAATTTCCCACAGGCTTGCTAGTTATTGCTGGCTTGCGTAGGATTGCTACGTATTGGTTCACTGACATGTAGCAATTGTCTGCCATAGGCACCATGGAGGTAGTCACATCACCTACTTTAGACACCTAGTTTAAGCCACATCTACCTTAAGTATTCCAAATTTCCTCTCTGGGGATGTATACTTCGCTATCAGGATAGGGAGACTTGGACCCTAACTTTGTTTCTCTTCATTAATTTAGGTTATTTTGGACATCAGGGAAGACAGTACCTCCTCATGGTTGCTTTCAAGCATACAAACAGATCTATGACTAGTTTACCAGACTGTACTACTGCCTGGAGTTACCCATGAAAGCATCTTGCTGTATAGTCTATTCTTCTCTTTGCAAATCAGGAATCAGAAATCCAGATTGTGATTTTTCTTTGCATTTGGATCTATTTATCCTTCAGCAACTGACTTGTGCAACAGCTAGGTAAGAGCTCGCTTGCCTCTTATATGGGGCTCTACCAGTCATGATCTACATGATCATTTGAAATTCTCTGGAGCCACCAGTGAAAGACCGCCAGAGGTTCACAGTTCTAAAACATGAAGATGCCACAGCAGAAAATGTAGTTACAGGATTATTCACTTGTAAGTAATAGCTCTGTGGCAGCAAACAACTAATGTCACTAACACTCAGGCCTCCCCTTACCAACTGTCCAGAATCCAAACTGCCTTGAATTGATTACTGCTAGCCTCAGTAGAGTTAAGGTAGGACAGAGCTCTCTCCCCTTCTTTACCTGTCTTGCTTTTTCCTTACATGACACCGCACTCAAACTTTCTGGCTGAAGATGTTTCAGTCTCACCTTTGGCCTTTGGCTGACAGGATTTAATTTCACATTTTCTGACGTGGCACTTAGGGGTGAACAAGTTTTACTAGAGTCTCCCGCAGACCTGTAGACATTCAAAATGAGATTGAAAAAGTTAAAAATGGAAGTGACTACTAGAATCATGTCTCAGATTCTGAGTTAGGATCCCTCATCAATAATCTTCAACAACCTACGCCATCTGTCTTATGTGACGTTGAAGGTATTTTAAATACAGACAATGGAAACTGTGAAAAAGCTATTGGAGCTTTGTCCCATTTCCACAGAGTTGAGTGTAATGAAGTCAGGGCAAGTCTGTGAAGCCAAAGAAAAACATGGCAATTTTTCCATTGAGTTCAAGTTCTGCTGCATGGGCAATCAAAACACTACAAAAATGAAATAGTAAAGGGTTAACTTTTACCTTCTTATACTGGTCATACTGGCAGGGGAAACACTGTCTTCTTTGGAGCTGTCCATAGCAACTGCCATGGGAATAGACACTTCAATTGTCCTCCTCGCATTTTCTAGGCAATAAATAATAGCTTGATTCTGATGAGAACACAGCAACATTTCACAACATTCATTTCATTTTCCCATTTTTTGAGGGGCATCACATAACTCTTCACAACTGCACAGAATATACAGAGCAGATGTAAAAGATCAGGCTAAACATTAACCCCATACCCACTCTCTGAAAATGACAGATATTTGAAAGCAGATACTCAGAGCAACTATGGACAACATGCATAGATAAAGAATCATTCTTCCATGGATAAACCTTCTGCTTTTTGACAATCAGAGGCTTAGAGATTTCCAATTTCTCTACTTTGTTCCTTTAAGATTTTACTTATCATGCTGAATTGATGTTACAACAGCCACAGAAGTGTTACAAATGTTATGATCCCACCGCATGAGTCATTGCATATGCACCTGCATGCATATGCACACACATGGCCTCTCCTCCCCCTCCTTCCTCTCCCCTCAAGTCCTTCCCTTCATATACCTTCAGTGGTTTAGAAAGGGGGAAAGGGCAGGTGTCCTAGACAGAGCACATGTACATGCTCACGTGTAGTTCTGTCTGTAATTGCAATAACTCCATGAAAAGATAAAGCAGCCCTTGCCTGCTGGAGAGTATTTTTGTTCATAGTCACACATGGCAGCTAATCTATGGATCCTGAATCAGCAAGAATATTCCCATTGCTAATTTATCTCTTCAGATGACTGGAAGCTTCAGCTATTTCTTTCTGTTAGCACTGGCAGTAACTTAGCAAGGTAGTCTGATGAAAAGAGCACCCAAAAGACCAAAAACTAAGATGTGGCTGAGAACTGGATAACCACTCTGCCATGATTTCTAGAAGCCTGATGTTAATACTTAGTCTTTTATAAAAGATTCTCCAGCTGAGAGCACTGATGAAAAAGCCTAGTTCTGCCCATCAGTGACTAGGTAGCAGAACTGTTCTCCAGGCAAGGACATAACAAAGAACAGATTTACCATGAAGTGTGGTATTTGCAGCAGACTAATTACTAAGAAACTAACTTTAGGAGAAGTTTAGCTGATATATTTTTAGCTCTCTGAAGTAAGGAGCCCGTACCACGCAGTCATTAACAGCAAGTGTACTGCTGACCACAACTGCTGAGCCAATCAGATAAGGACAGAGAACTCCCAAAAGGGGAAAACCACTGTCTTACTAGTTTTTGTTTCTCCTGAAGCTGGGTACTTACCAGTATAATTTAGGGATGGTGGCAGAACAGGTGGTATCATTGGAGGGACCGTATCGGCAGCAGCTAATTTCTGCTGGTCTATTAGCTGCAACAGTTTATCACGTGCTTCTGTACTCTGACGATTCAGCTCTGCTATTCTTTCCTCTAAGCTCTTCGATACCATGAGATGAGCCTACTTGGATAATTGAATAATTACTTCCAATTGAAAACTTACAATTTGCACCTTCAGGGAGAGCATGCAATATATTTCAAGTACTTCTATGCATTTAATTTCCAAACTGAAAGTAAACATAATTATATAGCAACTCCTGTGAAAAATCTGATTTTGTCCCTTTCACTGTCCTGTATCTAAGTCCTTAATTGACTAAATACAACAATACTTTAAATTGGTCTTCCTACAAATAGGAAAAAACAGCTATTGTCTGTATCATTAAAAGAAAAGAAGAAAACCCCCAACCATCCAGCAATTAACCATAATTAAGAAAATATTTAATTAGACACACACATATTCAGGATGGTGTGGGGAAGCAAAAGCAGATTTCTAGCAGAAATATCCTGGAACTCATCTTCAAACCAGGTTTTCGCCAACTTTGACCCTTTCCCCTCCCCTCCAGTAATTTCTTCCACAAAAACACCACTTTAAAAATTTTGCATCATCTTACGCAACTATATGACTAAACATTGCACAACATAATACAATATGGAAAGTGACAACACTCTCAGCCTACATTTACATGAGGAAATTTTAAATCTTTAGGATCCTTAATTGAACAGTAATTCAGTCACTGCAACAAAAGACAAGATAGTAAAGTAAGCAAGGGCAGGGATTAGGCATTTCTGTGATGTTAACTCAACTCACTGGGGTGCCACTGAATAGCTGCTTAGTTGCAGATTAAAGGTTTTCTGTGTGAACTGAAGCATTCAAGTTCTCTATTTCCCAAATTTTTGGGGATCTTCACCACACAGCAGGACAGACAAGACAGATCCATCTAGTACATACACTATAATTAAGTATTTACAAGTGATGTACTTGCACCAACTTTAATCTCATGGGCTTTTGGGTCATGGTAGCAGAAGAGATGTATGGCATGGATCTACATATGTATTTTACAAGCTTGACAAGAACCTGCACATTGGTGCAGTGCTTTCACTGTTAATATTATCCAAGCTACAAGAGGTACACCTGATCATGTTGCAATCACACCTCTTTTTGCAGCATAACCTTATCCCGAACTTACAAGTGTGCTGCACACTTTTCAGCACTCATATACAACATAGGCCCAATATGAGAAACTACTGTTGAGCTCCTTCGAGAATGATAAAAATCACAAGTCTCCAAATGAATGAAAAGAATATTTGTTTTGCTACTCTTTTCCTTAAAACAACTGACAACAGGAAAGAAACAGTCTTAAAGCATCAGTAAGCTATGGGAAAGCAGATCAGCAGAAAGGGGAATCCAGCCTTCCTTTTCTGTTAAATTCTCACCTGTCCTTGTGAGGAGTCTGGACTAGAATTTGCATTTCGTATTGGGTCTGGCTGATGTAGGCAGTCACTTGTGTCTTCACAGAAGCCTCTGAATTTGCTCAGCTGAGCTTTAATTAGAGAGTTCTGCCGTGTGAGGTTGGCTATCTGTCCCAGCAGGTCACCATTTTGAAATAACTCTTCAGCTGTGCTGTTTTTTCTAGCATCACCTGGGCAGGACAGACTGATTTTCTCATGGGAACTCTCCAAGTCTTTGTCTGCAGGAGGAACTGGTTGACTTTGAGAGAGGAGACAGTTTTCCTCAGTTGTGCTCTGTGTTCTCAGGGAGGAAGGTGAGCTCCTTTCCTTGCACGGATCTCTTTCAGTGTTTTCCAGAGACTGAGAAATGGCTGTAAACACTACAAACAAGGAATAAAGGAACAGTAAGGAAAGAGACATGTGATCCTCATCAAGGAAACCAACAGTGACTTTATTGCATCAGGCTAGTAATAATCAAGCAGGAGAAACTGAATTGTAACATCTAGCCTGAAAGGTGTTATGTTACTGATCAAAATCACTCCATGCAAGATCCTGCTGCAAGAACTCACCAGGTTTAGTACTCCCTATTGCAAATAGTCTTACATTTACATGATTTAATTAGAGATTGAGAAGTCAGACAGAAGAAGATAAATTGTTTTGAATTTCTTAGCTGATAGATCAAATGCTACTTCTTAGTCCTCCATTTTCCAATATCCAGTTACCTTATCTAATAAACTGTAAGTTTGTGTTTTAGTTCCGATGTTTATACTGGGTTGGTAACAAAACTTTTAGAATAACGAAACAAACAAGACTTTTTGGCATAATAATAAACTAGATATTTACTCAGCCCCTAAGAAAGGGGAAGCACTCTAGCCAACAAAAGTAGTTAGGTATTTTTTGTGGTCATCATTAGCAAACTGATAACACACCACAGACACACACAACCACATATGTTACGGCACTGTCAGCTGTTAAGTCCAAGTTGGATTTTGTGATCAAAACCAGATTTTCCATGCTTTATATACCAAATAGCCCATTCCTTCCCAAGCTTTAGCTTTTGCCTCTTGAGCAGAGCACGACATTCAGAAGTTTACACATAAATCTTTTTTATGAATTTTTTAATAAAGAAACATTCAATAAGTTTAATATTTGTTGAGCCATTTAGCACCCTTAACAGTCTTAAAAGAGTAACAATGCATTTCTCACGCAGCTAAACTATAGTGAAGTCTAGGAATACAGTTTTATATTCTTGTTTCAAATGACAGACAACATCTGACAGTTCTCAATGGGACTGAAGACAGATGTTGTTCTTCGCAGAAAGCTACCTGTCCTGGTTTCAGCTGGGATAGAGTTAATTTTCTTCCTAGTAGCAGGCACAGTGCTGTGTTTTGGATTTAGTAGGAGAAGAATGCTGATAACACACTGATGTTTTTAGTTGTTGCTAAGTACTGCTTATGCTAGTCAAGGACATTTCAGCTTCCCATGCTCTGCCAGGTGCACAAGAAACTGGGAGGGGGCACAGGCACAATAGTTGATCCAAACTGACCAAAGGGCTATTCCATACCATATGATGTCATGCTCAGTATATAAACTGGGGGGGGGGGGGGCCGGGGGGGGCGGAGG